GCTAAGTTGGAAATTCCCAGATTTCTTTCTAACAAATATAAAAAAGGGTTGTGAATACTAATGAGACTTAGATATATTGCACATGATGTTTTTAGTTAGTATAAATTGCATGTGTTTTTAAGTATGTTGTAAATCAATGTGCAAAATTGTAAATAATTAGAAACACTTTCTAGAAGCAAGCATTTTATCTAACATAAAACTCATAAAACTTGCTTAAGGAAATATGCAATCAAAAATATCAATTGGAAACATCATAATGCAGTTATGTAAATTATAAATATATTTAATTAAAATGAGTACTTAAAGCTCTTTTTCTTGCTTTTTGTTATGAACTAATTATGTTCTGAAGCAATAAATGTAACAGTCAAAATATGGAACTATTTATTACTTAAGATTTATGCTTCAACTAGGAAATAATTTACTTTTTTTATGATGTTATTTTTCACAACATTATTGGAATAAATACCTACAGGAGCAATATGTTTTATATAATAATGCATAAATATGTTGTATATATGTTTTATACAGTATATAATTTTATTTAAAGAATATTTTATGTGGCATTTAAATTTAAAGTGCAACCTTTGGTGAAGTTACAATGAAACTGTAGCTCCTCCCCATCACCCTCCCCAAACCCCCTTCCCAATATTACACTTAGCTGTCCTTGTTCTAGCTAGATATAGCTCACTAGGTTAAAGAGCTGCATATCAAATTCTTCTGGATCAAGCCAATGAATGAGCTTTTTACTCCTGTTTATTCCTGTTGGTTTCAAATTATACACTGGTAGCCAGAAATCCATAGATTGTGCAATCTAGATAAAGTGATATTAAAGGCATTTGTTTGTTTTAAAACATAATAAACATGTCATACTTACCTGCTCTATGCAGTGGTTTTGTAAAGAGCAGCCCCTATCCTACTCTTCTTGGCTCCCAGACTGTATAAAATGCATGAAGGTAAAAAATTCTAGCCTTTCCAACCATCTTAATGATTTTTTAGAGTTTACAAACTATAGTTACATAGTTAGTCTGGCTGAAAAAAAAAAAAACAAACGTCCACCTACTTCAACCATAAAAAAAGGTTATAATCCTATACCCACAGTTGATCCAGAGGAAGGCAAAAAAAAAACTCCAGCTAAGAATGATCCATTTTGCTGCTGCAGGGGAAAAAAATTCCTTCCTGATCCCCCGAGAGGCAATCAGATATTACCTGGATCAACTTTACCTATACATTTTAATATCCAGTTATATTATGTGTATCTAGGAAAGAATCCAGGCCTATTTTAAAGAAATCCACTGAGCTGGCCAGAACCAATTCTTGAAGGAGTCTATTCCATATTTTCACAACTCTTACTGTGAAAAAAGCTTTCCGTATTTGGATATCAAATCTCTTTTCCTCCAGACGTAAAGGGCGCCTCCTTGTCCTTTGTGATGACCTCAGGGTGAATAACTCTACACCGAGTTCACTATATGAACTATTGATGTATTTATACATGTTGATCATATCTCCCCTTAATCTCCTCTATTCAAGAGAGAATACATTCAATTCCTTTAATCTTTCCTCATAGCTGAGCTCCTCCATGCCTCTTATCAGTTCTTTCTCCAGTTCCCCAATATTCTTTTTGTGAATTGGTGCCAAAAACTGAACTGCATATTCCAAATAAGGTCTCTAATGATTTGTACAGGGGTACAATGATATCTCTCTAATTAGAGTCTATACCTCTTTTAATACAAGAGAGGATTTTGCTCGCTTTAGAAACCGCAGCTTGACATTGCATGCCATTATTAATCTTGTGATCTACCAGAACCCCCAGATCCTTCTCCACCATTGATTCCTCCAGTTGTACCCCTCCAGTATGTATGATGCATGCATATTCTTAGCCCCCAAGCGCATAACCTTACATTTATCAACATTAAACATCATTTGCCACATAGTTTCCCAATTAAACAGGGCATTGAGGTCGGATTGTAAGTTGAAGACATCCTGCAAGGATGTTATTCCACTGCATAGCTTGTCACCTTCAAAGACTGAAATTGTATCTTCAATCCCAGACCCTATATCATTTATAGATATATTAACTACTTGCTAATCGCGCTATAGTCGAAAGACAGCTACAGCATGGTTATCCAATTCTGGGAAGGCATCATATGATGTCCTCCCAGAACGCTCCCTCCCGCGCGCCCCCAGCGGTGCACACCTGGCAATCTCCGTGATCGCTGTGTCCTACGGACACAGCTGATCACTTGATGAGGTAAAAGGCCAATCACAGTGGTCTTTTACCATGTGATCAGTTGTGTCCAATGACACAGCAGATCACGGAGCAAATACAGTTGCCAATTATCAGCAGCACTTTCCTCACACTGTCACAGCATGAGGAAAGTGCTGTCTATAACCGGCAGCAGTCACAGAGCAGATCAGCACTGATCGGCCCAGCAGTGCCAACCACCAATGCCAAGCAGTGCCTCCTACCAGTGACCAGCAGTGCTCAGCAGTGCCCCCCAGCAGTGCCCCCCAGCAGTGCTTATCAATGCTGCCCATCTGTGACTAGCAGTGCCACCAGTCAGAAACAAAGAAAAACTTTTTTTTCAATGTTTTTGTTCTTTTATTGCTTATAGTGCAAAAATAAAAACCCCAGTGGTAATTAAAAACAACCAAAAGAAAGCTCTATTTGTGTGAAAGAAATGATAAAAATTGCAACAGTGCTGAAAGCTGAAAACTGGCCTGGGCACGAAGAGGGTAAAAGTGCCCGGTAGGCAAGTGGTTAAAAAGTAAGGGTCCCAACACTGAACCTTGGGGTACACTACTAACAACCGTAGACCATTCAGAGTATGAAAAATTAACCACTATTCTCAGAATACAATGTTTTAGCCAGTTTTCCTATCCATTTACATACTGATTTTTCCAAGCCTGTAGACTTCACCTTGGACATTAGCTATGTGTGGGGAACTGTGTCAAACACTTTTGCAAAATCCAAGTATACCACATTCACAGCCATCCCTCTATCCAAGGTTTGCTCACCTCCTCATAAAAAAAATCAGATTTGTTTGACAACTTTTGTCTTTTATGAATCCATGCTGTCTGTTGCTTAAAATATTTTTCTCAAGCAAGAACTCACCCATGTGGTCTTTTATGAAACTCTCCAGTATTTCCTAACTATAGAAGCTAAACTAACAGATCTATAATTACTTGGTAAAGATTTTGATCCCGTACCAGGGCTGGCCAGCGGGTGTTCCCAGCAATCAGAGACTCAACTTTGCAGCCAGCTAACACCTGTAACTGATTATGCTGGGGTATTTAAGGGATGGCCAGACCCACAGACTCTGCCTTGGTGTGTGTTTGTCCTGGGCCCTGTATCCTGTTTCTGTCCTGCATCCTGTTTCTGTCCTGCATCCTGTTTCTGAACCGCTGCTGACTTCTCCTGCTCTGATCCCGGCTCGCTCCTGACCATCCCTCTGTCTGACCCTCTGTACCACGCTGCTTGCTACCTGTTCTGATCCCTGGCTTGTGACCCTGACCAATCTCCGCTTGCTCCCCCTGTACCTACCTGCCCTATTGATATTGACCCGGCCTGCCTGACGACGCTTGCTTGTATGTACTGTTATCTGTGGGTGGTTTGGTTTGGTTTGTTTGCACTGTATTATGTTTTAGTATTGCACTGCGTTTATGTTTGTATTGTTAGTGTTAATAAATTATATTGTTTTTATAACATATCTGAGGTCTGCGTTTCCCTGCGTCAGTCACACATCTCTGGTCACACCTGGGAGCCCTGACATTACACCAAGGCCAATCCTGACCAGAAGTGGCTGCACAGGGAAGCCATCTTGGCTTGTTGATGGGAAGGATGGATCTGGATGAGGTTGAGTATTTATCTCTGCTAGTGCTTGATGACAGAGAGTATGCTTATCAGACTCTGAAGGAGTATCCCCGGGATGAACTGCTAGAATGTATACGGCTCGCTCATGTTCTAGTAGATCAGGGCACAGATTTCTCTATGGTGCAGCCATTGATTCAGGTTTGTGTTGAGTTGGTTTCATCTGGTTCCCCCGAATGCAGGGATGAATTTTTGCCACCATTTAGTGCAGACCAGGTTGAGTCCCTGGTGTGGTTATTAGAGGATGATGTGGGTTACTTTCTGGAGCGTTATTCCACATGTTCACCACAGACACTAAGAGATTGTATAAACGCAGTGCAGTCATTGACCAGACAGGCTTTGTGTAAGCTCAGCTTTGTTCAACCCCTACTGCAGACATGGACAGACTTGTTGCACCCAGCCTCAGTCAGCTTACAAAAACCCAGTCCTGCTTCTAACTCTACTCCTGTATTCCCACCAGCTCCTCCAGTTACAGCCCAGTATACTTGGCTATCTACCGCATGTCAGTACCCTGTTCCCACTCGCTGCACCTATCCTGCCTTTAACCCTGTAAAAAAGCCCTCTGTAGCAAACTGCTCCCTCTCCTGTTCCATCCTCCAGTTTTTCTCTGTCTCCAGCTGCTCCATTCGTTTGCAGACCTGCGTTTACTTGCAGTGCTCCAGTAGTTAAAACCAGAAAAAAGCGAAAATTCTTTCCAACCAATACCATCCTGCCAGTATCCAAACCGGTGAACCTGCCTTCCGTGACTCAGCCTGAAGCCTCTACTCAGCCGGATGCCTCTCTCAGCCAGCCTGATGCCTCTCTCAGCCGGATGCCTCTCCTCAGCCGGATGCCTCTCTCAGCCGGATGCCTCTCCTCAGCCTGATGCCTCTCCTCAGCCTGATGCCTCTCCTCAGCCTGATGCCTCTCTCAGCCAGCCTCTCCTCAGCCTGATGCCTCTCCTCAGCCTGATGCCTCTCCTCAGCCTGATGCCTCTCCTCAGCCTGAAGCCTCTCCTCAGCCTGAAGCCTCTCCTCAGCCTGAAGCCTCTCCTCAGCCTGAAGCCTGAAGCCTCTCCTCAGCCTGATGCCTGCATTCAGCCTGATGCCGCTACTCAGCATGATGAACTGATCCAGCCCGACGATCCTATTAGGCCAGTTGACTCGATGCCCGCTGTTGATCCAGATGATCCGGTACCTGATCCAGTGCCCGCTGTCGTGCCAATTGACTCAGAGCCCGCTGTCATACCTGGTGACCCGGTGCCCACTGCCTTGCCAGATGACGCGGTGCCCGCTGGCAAGCCAAATGACCTGATGCCTGGTGACCCAGTGCCCGCTGTCATACCTGGTGACCCGATGCCCGCTGTCGAGCCAGACAATCCGATACCTGATGACCCGGTGCCCACTGTCGTGCCTGTTGACTCGGTGCCCACTGTCTTGCCAGACGACTCGGTGCCCGCTGTTCCGCCAGTCGACTCGGTGCCCGCAGTCTTGCCAGACGACTCGGTGCCCGCAGTCTTGCCAGACGACTCGGTGCCCGCAGTCTTGCCAGACGACTCGGTGCCCGCAGTCTTGCCAGACGACTCGGTGCCCGCAGTCTTGCCAGACGACTCGGTGCCCGCAGTCTTGCCAGACTCGATGCCCGCTGTTCCGCCAGTTGACTCGGTGCCCGCAGTCTTGCCAGACGACTCGGGTGCCCGCAGTCTTGCCAGACGACTCGGTGCCCGCTGTTCCGCCAGTTGACTCGATGCCCGCTGTTCCGCCAGTTGACTCGGTGCCCGCAGTCTTGCCAGACGACTCGGTGCCCGCAGTCTTGCCAGACGACTCGGTGCCCGCAGTCTTGCCAGACGACTCGGTGCCCGCAGTCTTGCCAGACGACTCGGTGCCCGCAGTCTTGCCAGACGACTCGGTGCCCGCAGTCTTCCGCCAGTTGACTCGGTGCCCGCAGTCTTGCCAGACGACTCGGTGCCCGCAGTTCTTGCCAGTGCCCGCAGCCAGTGACTCGGTGCCCGCAGTCTTGCCAGACGACTCGGTGCCCGCAGTCTTGCCAGACGACTCGGTGCCCGCAGTCTTGCCAGACGACTCGGTGCCCGCAGTCTTGCCAGACGACTCGGTGCCCGCAGTTCCGCCAGTTGACTCGGTGCCCGCTGTTTGCCAGTTGACTCGGTGCCCGCAGTCTTGCCAGACGACTCGGTGCCGCAGTCTTGCCAGACGACTCGGTGCCCGCAGTCTTGGCCAGACGACTCGGTGCCCGCAGTCTTGCCAGCCAGTCGACTCGGTGCCCGCAGTCTTGCCAGACGACTCGGTGCCCGCAGTCTTGCCAGTTGACTCGGTGCCCGCTGTTCCGCCAGTCGACTCGGTGCCCGCTGTTCCGCCAGTTGCCGGTGCCCGCGTTCCGCCAGTCCTCGTGCCCGCCCGCTGTCCGCCCAGCCAGTCGACTCGGTGCCCGCAGTCTTGCCTCGACGACTCGGTGCCCGCAGTCTTGCCAGACGACTCGGTGCCCGCAGTCTTGCCAGACGACTCGGTGCCCGCAGTCTTGCCCGACGACTCGCCAGACGACTCGGTGCCCGCTGTTCCGCCAGTTGACTCGGTGCCCGCAGTCTTGCCAGACGACTCGGTGCCCGCAGTCTTGCCAGACGACTCGGTGCCCGCAGTCTTGCCAGACGACTCGGTGCCCGCTGTTGCCGCCAGTTGACTCGATGCCCGCTGTTCCGCCAGTTGACTCGGTGCCCGCAGTCTTGCCAGACGACTCGGTGCCCACTGTCGTGCCTGTGACTGCCTGGTGACTCGGTGCCCGCCGCTTCGTCTGGGGGCCCGAGACCTGTTGCTCCGCCTGAGGGCCCGAGACCTGTCGCTCCATCTGGGGGTCCGGCGCCCGCCGCCCGCCCGCCTGGGGGCCCGATGCCTGTCGCCCCCCGCCTGGGGGCCCGCGATGCCTGGGGCCCCCTGTCGCCCGCCTGGGGGTCCGATGCCTGTCGCCCCGCCTGGGGGGGTCCGATGCCTGTCGCCCCCTGGGGGTCCGATGCCTGTCGCCCCGCCTGGGGGTCCGATGCCTGTCCGCCCCGCCTGGGGGTCCCTGTCCCCGCCGCCTGGGGGGGCCGAGCCTGTCCCCCCTGGGGGTCCGAGCCTGTCGCCCCGCCTGGGGGTCCGATGCCTGTCGCCCCGCCTGGGGGTCCGATGCCTGTCGCCCCGCCTGGGGGTCCGATGCCTGTCGCCCCCCCGCCTGGGGGTCCGATGCCTGTCGCCCCGCCTGGGGGCCCGAGCCTGTCGCTCCGCCTGGGGGTCCGGCGCCCGCCGCCCGCCTGGGGCCCGAGACCTGTACCTGTAGCCCGCCTGGGGGTCCGGCCCCGCCGCTGTCGCCCCGCCCTGGGGCCCGATGCCTGCTGCCCCGCCTGGGGGTCCGCCCGATGTGCCCTGCCCGGGGTCCCGATGCCCGATGTCGCCTCCCGCCCGGAGTCCTGCCCGATGTGCCTCTGCCCGGAGTCCTGCCCGATGTGCCCTGCCCGGAGTCCTGCCCGATGTGCCTCTGCCCGGAGTCCTGCCCGATGTGCCTCTGCCCGGAGTCCTGCCCGATGTGCCTCTGCCCGGGTCCTGCCCGATGTGCCTCTGCCCGGAGTCCGGCCCGATGTGCCTCTGCCCCCGGAGTCCGCCTGCCCGATGTGCCTCTGCCCGGAGTCCTGCCCTGCCCGATGTGCCTCTGCCCGGATGTGCCTGCCCGATGTGCCTCTGCCCGGAGTCCGGCCCGATGTGCCTCTGCCCGGAGTCCGGCCCGATGTGCCTCTGCCCGGAGTCCGCCCGATGTGCCTCTGCCCGGGCCCCGATGTGCCTCTGCCCGGAGTCCTCTGCCCGATGTGCCTCTGCCCGGAGTCCAGCCCGATGTGCCTCTGCCCGGTGTGCCTCTGCCCGATGTGCCTCTGCCCGGAGTCCGGCCCGATGTGCCTCTGCCCGGAGTCCAGCCCGATGTGCCTCTGCCCGGAGTCCAGCCCGATGTGCCTCTGCCCCGGAGTCCAGCCCGATGTGCCTCTGCCCGGAGTCCAGCCCGATGTGCCTCTGCCCGGAGTCCAGCCCGATGCCTCTGTGTCCAGCCCGATGCCCTGCCCGGAGTCCAGCCCGATGTGCCTCTGCCCGGTGTACCCTGCCCGGTGTGCCAGTCTTTGATTTGATCCCCGCCAGTTACCAGACCCGGGCGGTGGAACATTTTTCCCAGCTAGGACTGTTTGGAGCGTCCTGAGGCCGCTCCTTGAGGGGGGGGTACTGTCAGGAATGGACTGGCCAGCTATGGTGGGACTCACCTGCCTTTTGATCTGCAGTACCAGGGCTGGCCAGCGGGTGTTCCCAGCAATCAGAGACTCAACTTTGCAGCCAGCTAACACCTGTAACTGATTATGCTGGGGTATTTAAGGGATGGCCAGACCCACAGACTCTGCCTTGGTGTGTGTTTGTCCTGGGCCCTGTATCCTGTTTCTGTCCTGCATCCTGTTTCTGTCCTGCATCCTGTTTCTGAACCGCTGCTGACTTCTCCTGCTCTGATCCCGGCTCGCTCCTGACCATCCCTCTGTCTGACCCTCTGTACCACGCTGCTTGCTACCTGTTCTGATCCCTGGCTTGTGACCCTGACCAATCTCCGCTTGCTCCCCCTGTACCTACCTGCCCTATTGATATTGACCCGGCCTGCCTGACGACGCTTGCTTGTATGTACTGTTATCTGTGGGTGGTTTGGTTTGGTTTGTTTGCACTGTATTATGTTTTAGTATTGCACTGCGTTTATGTTTGTATTGTTAGTGTTAATAAATTATATTGTTTATAACATATCTGAGGTCTGCGTTCCTTGCCTATAATGGACAAGAGCTCCCCCATGCTCCTTTGCATTCACAAAGCTGAAGAAGGTATTTAAACAATTGCCATCTCTTTGTCCCCAGTCACCCATTCTAGAATATTTTGTAAAAGGCCTACATGCTCGAACCTGACCTTTTTACTATTAATATGTTTGAAGAATTTTTGGAGGTTTGTCCTGCTGTCTTTTGCAATCTGTTGTTCATTTTCATATTTCGCTGCCTTGATTTTGATGTTGTGTTCATCAATGCCAATATTCCCTCCCAGTCTAAGACTCAGAGAGCAGCTCTCAGCCTTGGAAAATTGGCTCTCTTAAAGTTGAGTGTTTTTATTTTTCCCGTATGTGCTTGTTGTTTACAGCTAACAATAAATGAAATCATGTTTTGGTAACTGCCACCCAAATGTTCTTTTATATGGACATTAGTAATAAGCTCTCCATGGTTTGAGATTACCAAGAGGGAATGGTAGGGGCTCACAGAACAGGAAGGCCAGCCAGCTCTAGGTTTGAGCACCCAAACAGATTTGACAATTTGGGTAAAGATGTGGTGGTGGCAAGCTCAGGGGTAGAAGCCCTGGATGCCACTTCTATCACTAACAGCCAGAAGGGCAGACCATCTGGGAGGGGTGGCGAGGATAGTGCAGGAAGGCCTGGATAGTTGGTAGTAATAGGGGATTCTATAATCAGAAGGAATGATAGAATAATTTGTCGCCAATGGTTTGCTGTCTCCTGGTGCTAGGGTTTGACATTTGGTTGATAAATTACTGGGAGGGGCCAGGCATGACCCAGTTGTCTTGGTCCATGTTGTAACCAATGACAAAATACATGGAAGGTGGAGGCTTCTTAAGAATCAATTTAAAGAACTAGGCTGCAAGTTGAAAGGAAGGACCTCCAAGGTGATATTCTCTGAAATATTACCTGTGCCATGCACAACAGGAAAGACGGGGAGATTAAAGAACTGAATGCATGGCTAAAGACCTGGTGTAAGAGGGAAGAATTTGGGTTTCTAGAGCACTGGGGTGCAAAATATAAGCCAGAGATGGTTTCCACCTGGAAGGGGGGCTGCTGTGCTGGGGAAAGGTTTATGGGATGGCTGGAGGAGTATTTAAACTAGGATTGAGGGGGGAGGGAGAATTAGATTATAATGGGGCAGACAAATCAGACAGGGGTCAGTTCTTCTTGGTGGGTGGAATGGGGAAAGATAGGGGAAGGGCTATGGCAGGTGATAAGAAGGTTCCCACGTTACAAACAACCAAACAAAATTGGTACTATTTGTATGAAACATGAAAAACATGCAATATATGTGTGCAAAAGGTGTCAATGAAGTAAGGTGTTTGTTCACCAATGCCAGAAGTCTGCCAAGCAATATAGATGAGTTAGAAGCTTTGGTGTATGAAGAGAACTATGATTTAATTGGTATTGCTGAATTATTCACATGACTGGGCCATTAATATTCCTGGCTATGTTTTCTTTCGAAGAGAGAGGGTAAAAACGAAATGTGTCTGTCTCTATGTGAGAAGTGATCTCAATGCGAGTGTGAAAGAGGACCTAGTTGATGGAGAGAGTGATGAGGCTGAAGCATTATGGGTGGACCTGCACATGGGAGTGCGTACTACAAAGGTAATCGCTGGAGTTTGTTATAGGCCACCCAGTGTTAATGAGGAAGTGGAAACCCAGCTCCTTGCACAGATCAAAAGGGCTGCAAGGGCTAGGACAGTGATAATAATGGGGATTTAACTACCCAGAAATTAATAGGAGTAATGGCACTGCAGAACCAGTTAAAGGGCAAAAATGTATAAACCTAATACAGGACAATTTTATGGT